CGGTCTCGAACAGCTCCTCGTTCGGCTGGTCCGTAATCAATGTTGACCGTCCATAGTGCCGGCCCCAGCAGTTGACCTTGAAAATCTCCTCAACGATATGGGGAGTGGCGCCCTCCGGAAGGCCGATTTCGTTGTCGACAATGATCAATTGGCCGCGCTTGTAGCGGTAACTGAGGGCTATCCGCCACGCCTGGTCGTAGATCTTCTGAGGGAGCTCCGTAGAGAAGTCGCGGGGGTGAGGACCAAAAGCAACACCTCCACCTCTCCGGATTGGGGATTTCTTGTCGCCAACACGGGCCCGGCCAGTACCCTTCTGCGCATGCAACTTCCTACCACTTCCATGCACATCATCTCTCCACTTGGTGCTTGCGGTACCTTGTCGGGTCATGTCACCCTCGTAAACAACGGCTCGGTGCAGGATGTCTTTGCGTAGAGGCATCAGGAGGTGGTTGCGAGGATACTCAACGAAGCGCAGGGGCTCCATCGAGGGGAATGAGTAGAGGGTCGCCTTGACGGGTTCGGGATTCCACACGGGCTTGGGAACCTCTCTCGTAAGGTTGTCAACGGGGGACTGGGCCTCGGTGGCCATCGAGCGGGAGAAAGTCTTCGTCAGGCATCGTTGCTATAGGATCGAGGCATCAATGGTCAGTATCTCGCATTCAGCCATATGCAAAGACTAGCAGCGGAATAAAAAAGGTCGGCCTTACCGTGGTCGTCTCAGCGCCCGAGAGGAGACCCCCTGAGCTGCGAGAGAGCAACTTGAGTGCGCGAAGAGCGTCACTTCCAGGCATTGTGAGTGAAAGTGTGTAATTAAACCCCGAGAGGTAGCCTGGATGGGGGAGGGATCTCGGTGATGCTTTGGAGGAGGAGCAGCAAAAGTTCGGGTGGTCTGGCGCTAGCCGCCTGAGGCTTGGCCAACCCGACGAAAAAAGTTCCGTCCGGCCAGGAACCTCGACTTCGACTTCCCGACCAACCTGGGGAATCTCTTCCATCCACTCCACCACTTTATCCCCCCGTCCTTCTCCAGTCACTCGTCTCGCCATGGCTCATTGCGAGCGGGCCTCGAAGCCCCTGCTCCAATGCCTGCAGAAGACCTACACAAAGGGTCTTCCAGGCCTCCAGCTGCAGTCCACCCGCGCCTTTCAGTCCACCGCTCTGGCTCGCGAGGAAGCCCAGACTGAGGCCAAGAGCGCTCCCTTCCACAAATCGCCTGATCCGGCCCTAGTAACGAGTCCCCGGCTGGAACGGAGGTTGTTACGCCAGGGAATTGCCCCCGTCGGATCTCGTCGACGTCGCGCTGCCCTCCAGGCCTCATCCAACATTCCCTTTGAGCAGCTGCCCTTCCAATGTTTCCAGGAAGCCCGCAAGGTTTTGATCGCGGACCGGGAGGAGAAGGTGCGCGATATCCAGTCGATAAGCGAGAAGATTTCCAGGCTTCAGGCCCTTTCCAATGAGGAGGCCGGCGGCTTGCAGGTCAAGAAGTCCAAGCTCCGGGCCATGGAGCTCCATCTGGAACACCTTAAGATCCTTGCGGATGTCAACGACCCGCTGGTCAAGAAGAAGTTCGAGGATGGGCAAGGTGAGCAACACATTCTACAAACTGCCTTTAACTCCGCAGCCTAACCAACCTCGTCTAGGTGACCTCAGCAAACCCATCTACCGCTACCTGGCCGATCGGAAATGGAGGGAATACCGTCGCAAGATCCTCGTCCAAAGAATCACGCAAATGAAGGTGATTCCCGACGTCCTTCCTCACTGCGACCCCATCGTCGACACCAAGCTCTACTTCAACCGCAGCCAGGTGCAGCCTGGAGAATACGTCAACGCCAAGGTCAGCACGACAGCACCTAAGCTCGACGTGCAGCTTTTCGAGGGCGGCGAGAAGCTCGTCACCATCGCCGTGGTCGACTCGGATGTCCCCAACGTTGAGAAGGATGGATTTGATTTCAAGATGCACTACCTGGCTGTCAACGTCCCCATCTCGGCCACCAACACCAAGGTCGACCTGGCCCAGCTGTCGGGTGAGTCGCAGGTTGTCCTGCCATGGGAGCCTCCTGTCGCTCAGAAGGGCAGTCCCTACCACCGACTGTCTCTGTTCATCCTCGAACAGAAGGACTCCAAGCCATTGGACTTTGCCGCCGTCAAGGCGAAGGAGACGGAGCGCGAGAACATGCTGCCCCGCACCCTGCAGGCCCGGTACCACCTGAAGCCGATTGGCGCGCACCTGTTCCGCACGCAATGGGACGAGACGACGTATGAGGTGATGAAGCAGATTGGCTTCCCCGAGGCGAACATGGAGCTCCGGAGGAAGCGGGTCGAGCCTCTTCCTTACAAGAGAAGAAACCCGTCCACATTCCGGTAAACCACAGCCTCATTTCCTTTTCTGTTCAACTTTTTGGCTCTATATTTTGTATTGTACAAGAGAAGATGTATGAATATGCACAAATTCCACCAACTCCAGACTCCCATGCCGTATACCTAAGGGTATCCATCCGAGACAACATAATATAACATTTATCCCGACAAATCCGCCTCCTCCAACGTATTCTTCACCCACTCAAACTTATTCAACGGCCACACCCTTGCGATAATCTTCCCATTAATAAGCGCCATGGGTATAGGTCCATAATTCCTGGAATCCCTCGACCACGGCAAATTATCCCCAGCAAGATAGACATGACCTTCAGGAACCTACACCAAACATAAACAATTAGCCAATTACCCTCACCCCCAAATTAACCAACAAGAGGATAAAAGAAAATATACATACCCTAATCATCTCCCCCTCCCCACCAACCTCCCTACTAAACGGCAAATCCCTACACACAAAATCCCCGGGCAACCCAATAACCCTCTTCGCCCCATTGACCCCCAAAAACGTCGGATGATAGAACCGCACCACGTCCCCGACCTGGATTCCGCGCCCGTGCTTGTGCACTCGCGATATGAGAAGATAGTCGCCTCGTGGACTGAATGTCGGGTACATTGAGGGCCCTTCGCTCAGTTGTACCGTGATCAGGTGCTCCCAGATTAGTGTGCATGCGCAGAATACTCCCAGGCTGTTGAGGCCGAAGCGGAAGATGTGGCCTGGGGTGCTGCGTTTTAGGGTGTAGCGGAGGAAGCGGTCCATTTTGGAGATTATTTTTTGTTTTTGATTTCTTTTTGTGTTATTGGGTTGGTATTGAGGGCATTGCTTTGCGATTGCGATGGACTGGATTGATTATTGCGGACTAGTTTGGTGTTGTTTGCTTGGTATGACGGCGGAGAGCTTCGGAGGTTGGTTGGTCATGTGATTAGCCGGTGAGAGGGAGGGTATATAAAGGGTTTTGTGCGGGAGATTTTTTCTCTCTTCCTATGAAATTGTCGTGAGTGACAACACAACACAACACAACACAACGCCAGACTTTCAGTTGATCGATATGGTTGACTGATTGATTATTGCTACATCCACGATGGATGATCTGATAGCTTAATGCAGCTAATTGGATTCATCCCATTGCTATTATTATTGTTACTGTTTTTCTTGTTGCGTTATGTTTTCTGCTATTCTGCTATTCGCTTCTAAAATTGCTAGAGCTCACCGCTGCCGAAATTAAACACCAGAGCGCGTGAGTGTGGACAGTGAAGCAAGATGAATATACATCTCATCATTCGTGGTGGGATTCCCTGAACGATAGCCCGGCTTGGACCCCATTTTGTTATGGGAATGGAAAACTGGGTGGTAACGATGGGACACATCCATCTTTATAATCATCGTAGTTGTTGATAGTTGAATGCAATTGCAATTACATATTCATATTCACTTCGTATCATTATCATCATCATACATACCCAACATCATATATCCTAATCCTCCCACATCCCATCCGCACCTACACAACCCATCAATTAGCACACACCCCGAAATCAACATGGAACTTAGAAAGTGGAAAGAGGAATAGAATAAACTCACCCTCAACCATCACCCCCTCCCCCTCCCTCTCCAACCCCTTCCTCTTCTCCCTCTTCTCCCTATAATCCACCCCAAACCTCTCGTCCCTCTCCTTCACCAACTCCCCCAATCCCCCCGGACAAGCAATCTTCACCCTCTCCTCACTCGTAAAACTCGCCATCAACTCCGGCGCCCCCATCGGCACCGGATCCCCCCGATCCACCTGCCACAGATGATACGTCTTCCCATACAACGGCACAATATCCTTCATTTCCGCCGTCTCGGCTGCCTCCCACACGACATTCGGAACGCTCGCGGGCGCAGGCATGATCAGCATCCCGCTACTGACTTCGTAGACGTGCGTGTGCCACAGTTTCTTCTCTTCCGCGGGTAATGTCGCGAAGAGCTTGGGTGTGATCATGTATTCGATGCCGAGGAGGCGTGCGTTGGGCGCAGTGCTGTCGTAGAGGAGGCATTGGCGGAGATCTAAATATTATATTAGTTGGGTGGTTGTGTGGTTATTTAGTTATATGGTTGGGTTTTTATTAGGGTGGGATTTATGCGATGCGATGGGGGTATAGATACCCTCTGTGATATGGGAACAGTAGTGGTTTGCCTCCACGTAGCGCTTCTTGTCGGAGGCGTAGACGTGGAATGCGTTCAGGTGTGCGCAGATGTGCTTCACGGGCGTGAAGTCTTGGATGGCGCTGGCGCCGGCCTCGAGTACTTGGCTTTTGGTCGTTTTGGCGGTGCCGGGGAGGCCGTCGGTTGTTTCGGTGGTCATTTTATTGGAGCAGATAGGATTGAGAATGTTAGGGGGAGTAATGAATCAATAGTTGGTATTGAGGTGAGGATGGGGTTTCTATACTACATTTTGTTGAAGTTGCATCTGACGTCACGATGATCGTTTTAGTGATGGATGGATGCATGCCAGCATCAATGTCATTGTTATCTCAATGGCTGAATACGTTTTCTGGGGTTTGTGTGGGTAGGTTGGATTTGTGGATCATATTCATTCTTGTGCTACTGCTAGTGTACTTGACTATTGTATGGTCCATATTTGGCCAATTTACATACTGTTCTTCATCTCTCTCAGCGCCGCCATGACCTCCACTGGATCTGTCTTGCCGGTCTTCTTCTGGATCTCGGGGTCCTATTACATGTTAGCTGGGTCTCTCGTTGAAATGTATCGGGGCGGCTCACGTTGACGCGCATGAAGACGTTATGAAGCTGTACCTGGTCAGTTTCGGTCAAACAATATAAGAGGTAGAACAAACCTTCTCATCACCAATCGTGAACTTGCCCTGGGTCTCTTGGTTGGCATTGGCGAATGCCTCCAACTTCTTAATGGGCTCAGACTGCGAAACAGCAAGGCAGAACTTAACGTTGCCCTTGGTGTATTCATGTCCGGGCTACAAAGCATCAGTAAGTTCCAACATGAATCACACTGAAATACTCACGTAAACCTTAGTATCATCCGGCAGTGCAGCCAGAGTCTCGTTCAATGCCTTGTGCATTTCCGGGGCCGTACCCTCGAAAAACCGGCCACATCCTGTATCCTATTAGTTTGGACCCAGTCCGCTCACCCAGTAGCTGAACTCACCTCCGATAAACAAAGTATCACCGGTGAAGACAACCTTGTCGTCTCCATCCTGCATGAAGTAGCAGATACTGTCCTGCGTGTGGCAGGGCGTGTGTAGCGCCTTGACGGAGATGCGCTCTCCGATCTTGAAGACTTCGCCGTGTGCCGGGGTCTTGGTGACAGACTGGCAGTTCTTGCCACCAATGACGGAGAGTTGACCGAAGGTTTTCAGCTTTTTCAGTTAGTTTCGAGTAATGTCTTTGTAGACTGTGTAGCTCACAATTTCATTGTTACCACCAGCGTGGTCCCAGTGACTGGTACAGTTAGCATCTTTATAGACCAAAGAGGAAGAGCGAGCACATACTGATGGGTATTCACGATAGACGTAAGCTTAATCTTTCCCGCGTCGATCTGAGATTGCAGCGTCGGAGCCACCCTGGACTCTCGCATCAGCTCAGCTCAACCTTCTCGTAAGACTCATTCTAACAAGCCAGCAAACTAGCACATACTCAGGCGGATTAGCCGGGTCAATAATAACGGACTCCTTAGTAGGTTCATCCGTGACCAGGTAGGCATAGTTATTGCCCTTCCCGGTCCCTGACAGAACAAACCTAGTTAGCAAATAAGAGCCCAATAGTAATGTAAGCAAGTACCTTGGGGGCATGTCTCAAGGGTTTATTTATTTATTCAAGGAACTACTTACACATCGGGATCGACTGTACATGCATGGCTCTAATTTGTTGCGCTTGCGCTCTCACGGGTTGAAACCTCACGGAAGACCAGACAGCTCTGGTAAGGCACATGGATAAGTATAAGGTAACAGCAAAAGTGTTAGTGCTTGAACTTTTTGGAATGAATGCGGGGGTGGTGGTAACATTGATTGCTAAGAAGCTAAGCTAACTAATCTATGCCACCTGCGCCATACTTACTAACTGTGTAAGCAGGTCTTTTGGCGATTACCTCATAGGCTCGTTCCGCGGAGGCTCAGCCACGTGTGGCTGTGACGCTAGGCTGCTTTCGGACGTGACATTTTCCACTTTAATCTTTAGGAGACTGGTAGATGCTACGTGGATACTACTTGGGCTTTTGTTGGGTGTGGAATTGAGTTGGTTTTCGCTGAGCATCGAGGCGTAGCACAGCATGGTCATATTGGAATCGTATCCGCTGTCTATACTATCCCTAACGGTCGCGTATCCCACGTATCTACCGTCTCCCATCCGAATTTCTTCAACTCTTTCAGATCGTCGGCATCTGCAGTCCGCTTGAGGCCAGACCCGTCCTTCTTTGAGTGTTTCTTTGATGTGGACGCCGGCTTCTTAGGTGCCAGATCGTCCGTCCTCTGCTGTAGGCTCTCCTTAAGAAGTGCAGTCCAGTGGTTCAAACTCTGCTCGCAAACGGCAAGAAGGTAAGCGTGGGACAGTAGTCGTCTTCGAGACCCCCATTCCGGCGATTGAAGTATATGGTCCAGCCACATGTACAATCCTTCGAGCTGAGGGTCATTTTTCACGTTCTTTGAGCCTGAAAAGGCCAGTACATTCACCATCTCCTCCGTCAGGGATGCCAGGGCCGGGGGATGGCCCTCGGCGAGCATCTGTAATAACGAATCCCACTTAGCAAACATTCCCGTCATGGAGTCACCCATCCTGGTGCCAAATTAGCTTATGAAGGTCATAGAACTTTCAGAATATAGAAAACTCACTTCCGACCAGCAGGAACCAACAATGAGTCCTCCACAATCACGCCTGCTAGCGCAGACGCCCCACGACTGGAAGACTTGCAAATCGAGATCAAATGCGTAGAAGTAAACGAGACATTCTGCTGGAACCGCCTCTTCTTGCGCGGCGGTTCTGACGACTCCTCTTCAGCCAGCAAGTGCTCGAATTCAGTTCTCAAAGCCGCCTTGATGGGCTCGACGTCATCTTCAGCGCCGTCAAATGCCTCGGGTTCCGACACAGGCACCGTATCAGCACTCAGGTCAGTCTTGGCCCAGTAGTAATCCCACAACCACTCAAGGGACCGCTGCGTGGCATTGCGCAGGACTGTCAGAGAAGGCAGTTCACGATGCGTGGCCTCGTGACGCAGTTCCACAAAGGAGGCCGGTAGGCCCAGATCAATGGCTCGTTGGAACATGGTCTTACGCTGACCGTTCAGCTTGGAGTCGACGAGCCCCGTCACGAATCTGTCTGTCGTTAGCGATAATTACTCATTACACAGCCATACGGGAACAATTCGTTCCATGAGCAAAGTGGATGATCATACCGACAAAACGCAGCCGAGTACGTAGCCCGAATAGAAAAGATGGAATTTTTCAGGGCATCATCATGGAGAATAGCGTCCGTTAGCAAGGCCGTGGCTTCAACAGAATGTGGCAGGTTTCCCCGTAGCTTCCAAGCTGCAACCTATCATAATGGTTAGTGTCAAATTCACATTATCAGATAATTTCAAGGCAGATTGTCGCATACAGTAGCGCAGGCCTTGGAGCGCATGTCGGGCCCATCATAGAAGGGTGCAGGGTAGAATTGACTCCGCACCGCGAGTAATTGCGAGTGCTCCTTCCATGGTGTGAAAATGACCTTTGCCATTTTGTTACTGATTGATTTAGCTGTTTCAAATGTGATGATTCACCCTCACCCTGCACTGGCCGGGGGCACACTGTACATCTTCGTCGACAGTGATTTTGTTCGCCCGGATTAAGGTTGTTCCCGCCGCTGCGACTCCTTATCGGTTCGACTGCGTTGATTCGTTCATGAAACTACTAGTACTATGTACTAAGTAGGTAAACTACAAAGTAGACTACCACTAGATTCTCTCTATTCTGTTGCTTACGTATTATTGATGCTTGGTGCAATGTGTTTATCAAAGATATTCTCGTAATTGTTACATTCACTGGTGTCTAATACATGCATTTCGAGTTCAACCAATCCTCCCTGGGTATCCTGTACTGTATGCTAAATTGAAAACGCCTCCGAAACAATAACTCCACGCTATGCAATGCTGTAAGCCGAAAACCGAAAAGAGCAATAATCAAGGGCGGTAAACGCGACAGTGTCGGAATCAAATCCATCCATAACCATAATTCATACAGGGTTGGCTAGCCATGTTAATGAATGGCTGGGAATCGACCACGGCATGCTGCTCGAGGTCGTCGTCATCAAAGAAAAAGGATCTTTGCATCATGTTGGTAGGTGCTTTGATCGGTTGTTGAAAAGTCTCAGCCTCAGGCTGCTTAGGGTTCGAATCAGTGCCCTTGTTGTTGACGGGGCTCTCATCCTGATTTTGTTCGTCATCATCGTCCTCATCCTCCTGGTCATCTTCATCGTCCTGGTCTTCGGCTTCATTGTCGGAAGACGGGGTGAAAGTCTCCTCCAACTTCAGCCCCTTGCCGGAAAGCCCTAAGAGCGAGTTTCCCAGCGAAGCTTCCGGGTTGCTGTATAGGCCCATTCCGACGAGTTCATCCTCGTTCTGCTTCTCGGGCAAGGACTCTACCTGCGAATGCAGGTCGTCATCAGGTCGCTGAATAGGTAGAAAGTCAGGCGTAGGGGGGCCAGTCAAGCAACCCGACGACGGTACACTCTCATAACTCGAACCTGCGACGTAGACTGGAGGGATGTTGTTGTGCATGGATGACATGTCGAAAGAGTAGCAGTCAGACATAGGTTCTGCCATTGCCGACAAGGTTGAAGCGCTGGTGTCCCAGGAGACGGGCTCAATTTGAGACTCGCTCATCGGCAGCATGGTAGATTGTTGGAGCGACATCTGATGCTGTGCATCAGGCAGGGAAGGGAATCCCATATCCGAGCATGGAATATCTGTTGAGGTGTAGGATGACATCATGGAAGAGTTGTCGAAGGTTGCAGAGGCAGTAGGCAGTGGCTGAGGGCACACGCCAATGGCGGCAAAGTTGTCCAACGCCGTAGTTGCTGGCACATACTGAGTAGTAGGATAGCTAACAGGCTCCAAAGCCGGATGCCAACTTGTCGGACGGTTCTGGCCAGTTCGGGCAAGTGCAGAGGCTACAAAGGCAGTGTTGACGGGAGCCTGGTAGCCTTGGTACATGGGCGAACTGTAAGGGATGGTTGCTGTGCGCCGTCTGCCAGCAGACGAAGGACTGTTCCCAGCGCTGCGGGGTTTCATCACTCGACCCGTCCGCTTGGGTTTAGGGAAAGCATGGATCAAGTCACGAAATGTCGAAGAGCGCCAGCATGACTGGTTGCCCTGAACCCAGCTAGGGTTCGCAAAGGACGATTGGGGTTGCCAGTAGTCGGCCATTGAGAAGATGGTGAGAAGTTGAGAGGGAGAGAGAGGGATAGAAGACTTGGGTATGAAAGATAGGACTGAGAGGAGGTGGACGGTCAATTGAAAGTGTGAGGAGGGAGGTATGTGATATAAGCACACATAGTAGTAGTAGGTGAGAGGCTAGAAGGATAAGACGGGATGGTGGGATAGGGCGGTGGTTAGATTATATGGAGTATCAAGCACGGATAGGATCCGTGGATGATGACTGCAGGAATATGTAAAGGATCTCCGAAGACTGGGGTTCGAGACTTATCATCTAAAGATGACACAGGGGGCGTGAGGGTCACAAGGCGTGGAGGCAAGGTACAGTTAAGTGCGTGCGGTACTAAGTAGCAAGCCCAGTGCCTAGTCGAGTAATGGACCCAGATGGTTCGGATAAGTAGTAGATTATGCGGTAAAGAGTAAAGTAGGAGCGAATCTAAAAAAGTAAAAAAAAAAAGGCAAAAAAGGGGAAATGGAATAAAAAAATAATATTAATAAATTAATAGTAGATGGGGAAAAAAAAATAAAATAAGAAAAAGGAAGGCCCTACATGAGGGTGATACACGGAGATGTGGGACGCATGTACATGGGCATTTCTTGATCTACCATCCGCCCCAGTTCCACGATCCATTACTGTAAGTAAGAAGACTAATGGATTAGTGGGAGCGGGCACATGTTGGGATGACACGACGTTGACACTAACGAAAGCAGACTAGTTGGTGGGAACCGAACAGGGCAAGACATGGGACGAGAGGAGTAGAAGGGGGGGCTCAGACTACTAGGACTGAGTCTAGTCTAGGTACCAGGAAGGGGAGGAAATGGCAAGGAAGGAAGGGGACCCAAGGAAGGATGGTTGATGATGATGAAGATGATTCAGATGAGCCCATGCCACACGAATGCTGTCTCCACTCTGAAAGCACTCTCTGGGACTTGCGAAGCGGGCAATCAATCCTGGCTCTGACTCTGTGCTGGCAAAAATGACTTCTGGACTGCCCTGGGCCCATGGAATTGGGGCTGGTTTAGTGGCTAACGGCGGGTGACGATGGGGGAATGGATAATAATGTCGATGGTGGGGATGATCAGACCCATTGGCAAAAGAATTTGATGGACTTGCAGTGTCCACCGGGAGGGGGGGAGAAATATGGAACAGAGGGTCAAGAGAAAAACGAGGGAGATGCGGCAGAGCGGCAAATGATTGGATGGGAAACTGAAATCGGAGCTCCAGTCCAGGGAAAGGCAGCAAAGATCATGGATGGAACTTAAAGAAGGAACCAGAAAATGGCCGGGCCCTCTTCATGCCCCCCCTCAGCTCCCTCTCTTCCAAGCCGAATTGAGTAGGGAGTGACCGAGTGATTGACTTGGATTGAAGTGACTGACTTGACTTTTGACTTGCCTGGGACATGCCGAAACTAAACTAAAAGTAAACTAAACTAAACTTTCCACTAGATACGACGCACAGTAGTAAGGCCCGTGTGAGAGCCCCATGGGAAGTCTGGGGCTAAACTGGGAACTTTTTGGGAGTTACTGCGTCTTCCTGCATCCTTTTTCTGCTGCTTCTTACCATACCATACCAGCCAAGGTGCCGCCCGTTGCCTGCATTCTGATTGACTTCCCTGTCCTCCCTGTCGGATAGATATTACGGAGTACGTGCTATTTAGGTAATAATGCAGTGAGGTGGTTATAGTCATTAGTTAGTGCTCGGTGTCTTTCTACTTAGTTAACATGCGACAGACAGGTACGGTGATCAGTTACATTCATGACCGAGGTGCGACTTTGCGCTTACTTGGTAACTAGTCAAGTCGGTCTGCTGAGACTAACTACTACATGTAGTACCAACCCACTGTATGATTGTATGATACTTCACAGAGCGCCGCCCCATCAAAAGCAAGAAAAGGTAGCACTAAACTACTGCCGGTGTGTTTAGATTAATTCCCCCCTCTCTCACCTTCTCGATGACGCAGCCGTGCCATGGCCCTTGGTACGGTGCCTGGGAGAATTTTGCGATCTATTAGTCACGCTGTACCAGGGGTAACTATGCATCTCTCTGATAGGTAGGTAAGTTATGTAGTACTAGTACTAAGTAAAGTACTTAGGCAATGAAGAGAGTGTGTGTGCAACCACTCTCCTTGAGTCACTTCTAGCCCAGGCTGTTGCTCCCCCCCTCCATACATACATACATGCATGGGTAAAGGATGGATGGATGGATGGATGGATGGCCGGACCCAAATCGTGATACACTTCCCAACTCTCCTCGGCCGTCTTAGTCATGATGGGAATGCCCGCGGTGAAGCGGTAATATTGGCCTGGCAAATGACCCACGATCCGACCCGATCGTCAACCCTGCGGCCAAACAACTCTCCCAACTCTCTTTCCGTTCCATTCCATCTTTACTGTTTCTGTTTCTGTTTCTAACTAGTAGAGGATGATTCTTCCTTATCCGTATTACATAGTCTCCTACTAATCCGTAACTAGGCACACATTTGCCCCCCCTCTCGTCTTCTCCTCTTTCCCTCCCCACCCACTCCCTCCTTCGTCTCCTCCCTCGTTAAGTAACCCCTTCAAGCCCAGTCTTGTCCCCACAAGTTCACCGTTTCCAACGCGTCACAACGCCCGTTACGCAAGGGTTACAATAATGCGGAAAGTTTCCAAGGGCAGAGTTGCTTCCCCTGTCCGGAGTACGTATCGACATCGGATGCAGGTCTGGCCCAGTTCTCTACCCGGCAACCTCAAGCAAGCTAGGCACATAACTTACACCATCCATCCCACCCATCCACATAGCAAGCAAGCAACACTCTAATTTGGTAGTCGTCGTATCGCATCGTCTTCCAGCCTGGCGATAGATCGAGACAAGGGCAGGAAGGAGCATGCGGATGGTCGAACAAGCTGCCTTCCGTCTCATTCCTTGTCATCGTCATCCTCGTCCTTCGGCATCCCCGGGCGCACATCCCCATCATCCCGCCGACCATCCTTTCTAAATACTGATTCCTTGGGTGCTTGTGCTTCTATTGCTGTCCAACCGCGCCAGGGTGGGAGGCATCACCGTTATCACACATACTTGCAACCACTGATAGATTACTAGCCCAGAACTAATTTGGATTACCCACCAGGCCTGACTCGGTGAACCACTTGTCTCGTGAAGCGCTGAGCTGATGATCATTGATTGCTCTGGGCAACTCATTGGCCAGACAGGTGTGCTACTCCATACTTCATGCGTGCACAAGAGGCCAAGATTGCCTCGTTACCTTGGCACCAGCACAGGTTATACTATCACCACTTCTCCAACCATAGTACAATGATCAAGTAACTGTACCTATGTTCCGAATCCCGATCGTTGTTCTTGCTTATCAATTTCCTGTTGCCGGTCAATCTATTTCGTTGTGGATCACATGTTTCATAGCCATAATACGTGTGACGAGCCGGATTAAATCAGCTGGCTGAGTGGCTGAACGGTGAAAGCCTACTTGCCGTACGGACCACCTCTCGGTGTAGGAGGGGATTAGGGAAAACGGAAAGTTCGGCTAGAAATGACAACACTTGGACTGGGTTCAGGGATCGGAGAGGGGGGGGGCGTTATACGGAGAGTACGGAGTACGGAGCACTCAGAAACAGAATTTGCTCAAGGCCGGAGAAAGAGTGGGGTGTGCACTTCTACTTTTGCTACTACAACACGCAAGTCGCAAGAGGCAGTGAGAGAGACAAGGGAGAGGGAAACACCGCTCGGTATCAAGAGACTCCACAGGTCAGGCTGGCTGTCTAGCTTATCCGGGATGGAAGTGGGCTGGTGCCAATAAATGCATTTTTGACGAGTCCAGCTGCACCAGAAAGAGAGGTACAGCAGATGGGTTCCGCCTAGAGCGCTAATGCCCCCCATCATATGTAATCGACAAAGGATGCCGGGGCGGAGGATTATTCCATTGACATGGGGACCATTTCCAGAACCAGGGTTACTACCGGAGCAAGACCGACTAAAAGCAGAGCCCTACCCACTCCGGTTAGTCCCCGTGGCGCCCCTCGAGAAGCCTAAGTAAGTACCTGAAGGCTGAGCCCGAGTCACTTTTAGTGCGCCTTTGGGTCAGAGTTACATGCGCCCCTCCTCCTTCTGGTCTGCTCGGCCGTCTTGAAGTTGGTCCTTAGGGGAAAAAAAAAAAAAAAAAAAAAACCGAATGTGCCTAAACCTGCATAGGGCCAAAGAAGGGGGCGCAAGAGCAGAGAATAACAATAAAAAGAAAAAGTAAGAAAGAGGCCAAGAAGGGACCCTATCTGGATGAGGTAAGTAACTCCTGTATGGATGTATCCAACTAAACTAACGTTCTCCCCGTGAGAGCAATAATGTGGCCACCGTGCTCCGGCCACCGGGGCTCACTTTACATATACGACAGCCTGGCGATCGGGATTTGTGGCACTGCATCCGTCACGCCCGTTCTAGTCCATCTGACTGACGCCGGTACGTAAATGAAGTTTGCTAACGAGGCACTTATTCGAGGAGAACTGGCAAAAGCATCCGCAACAATAAGAAACAAAATAAAATAGAAATTAAACGGACAAAAAACGAATGCTTGTCCCGGTTCAAAACCCGGCTGTTCGGGGAGGCGGATAGCCTTCCATTGTACTAGAACCGCGCCAGATGCGTGGCAGGCCAGATCGAAAGGGTAACGAACTCGAGAAAACCTCCGTGCGACGCCTTAAGCGGGTACAATCACCACTAATCAAGATACATCATCGAAAAAGCGACTAATCAGATGGTTGAGATCATCGTCTGGACGCCCTACAAATCAGAAGCCGGAGATTACAGGAGGGGAAGCATCGGAATGCATGTGCAGGCCCACCTGACGGCAGGGGACTGGGAAACTGGAAACCGTGAGATGGGAGGGCCAGTCGAGCAGAATTCCAGAAGGCTTGGGGGCCAAATCAGCCCTCGATAGGGTTATGCAATGGATGGAAACGGGAGACAAAAATGGAAAGGGAGGTGGCAGGAAACAGAAAAAAAAAAA